TGCGGCAGGAAGTTAAATGGCGTTTCCGTGCGCTCTGGTTTCCATCACGGTGTCCCATTGCGCCAGAAGCGGTTTAGTCCTGCTGGCCACATGACCCGGGAAAGCTGTCTGTGGACAAACGCCAGCTCCCTTGACCAGAAAGCGAAATGTGCGCCGCAACCCCATAGTCACCTTTGACCGGACTTAACCGTCCAGGGCTCCTTGACCTTTTACCTTTACCTCACATTCAAAAGCACATTCCCCCACCCCCACTCCAAAGAACAATCCTGGGAAGAAAGTCCTTCTTCACGCAGCGCATAAACTATGGAACTCCCTCCCACAGTGATGGGCATCTGGTAGGCCGCTGTCAGAACAGGATGCTGGTCGAGATGAGCCGTGGGCCTGATCCACCAGGCTCTCCTTATGTCCTTCACTATGGTTTAACCCTCAGAGAGCTACAATTCCCTGCACCCTTAAACTACGGTTCCCAAGATTCTTGGTGTGTGTGTGCGCGCGCGCGCACTTTAAATGCACGGTGTGTGTGCAGCCTCCATTTTTCCCTCTTCTATGGGGTGCGTGTCTCCCTCTTCAGCCCTTGTTTTGGGACTGAAATGAAAAATTTAAGGTCTTATATGTATAATAAATGTTCATAAATGTACCAATCTAGCATGTACATAGATATGGGGACCACATGTCTGGAGCAGCACAGGAAGACCACCCTGAAACCATTTTGACTCCCAAACTGGCCAAATGTTTTCCCTGCAAGGAGGGAGCGGGTGAGGGAACCTTACCATTGTCTCAGGAATTGGGAAATCACCATCTCAAAAGAATGGCCAGACTACCAGGAAAGGCAATCACATAACACATTATCAGATAACCTGGCAGACAGGAAAAACAAGAACATTCAAATTTCTGCTGTAGACCGCCTTTTCTGTGATGTAGGTATGATGTTTGTGGGGGGTGGTCTTGGGTTACACCCCTTCTGTGATGTAGGTATGATGTTTCTGGGGGTGGTCTTGGACTCCAAGGTGGGCAATTTAAAATGTCTATATAAGGGCAGACACACCTTGGTTCTGGGTTCCTCCTCCTTCTCCTGTGTGTGAGGGGAGCACCCTGCTGCAACAGATCAATAAAGATCAGGCTTCTTAGCTGCTTTGCTTCTCAATATTCTCTGGTTGGCCTCTGTTATTTTCTCCTACTGATGGAGAACCTGCAAAGGACTCTACAAGGGCTCTTGTGTCCCCCATAAGGGAATAAGGGCAGATTTTCGTTTATTACGGGACCTACAAGCCTTCCTTGCCAGCCTCCTTGGGATCAAGTCTCTGCTCACGCAGATTCATCAACCTGAAAGGCAACATGTACATCTCAGAGAGCAAACATCCTCTGCAGGAAGATTTACATGTGTTTCTTCCTGGCTTCTGGAAGGGCAGGATATGTCCCACGCCCTGCATGCAAAACTCAGTTTTTTGCAGAAGAGGTGGGGCAGCCCTGGTGGTGTTGGGGAAGGCCTGGTGTGATTTCCATGGGGCAATCCTTGAAGGGGGTCAAGGGGGGGGGGAGCAAATTTGGGTTCCTGTGAGGCAGCATCCTTTGCAAGGTGGCTGGTTCCCCTGATACTCTGGGCTTATCCACAAGGGTCATAATCCTGGGGACAGGCGCTCTGTGAAGCCCCCCAGCCTGCATCAAGGGGTCCCCGTTTGGGATCCCTCTCAGCACACCCCACCACCAAGCCACAGCCCCCTGGGATGTTTGGGGAGGCACAGCCACACCAGTTAAAATGACTCAAAGCTTTGTAGTAAGAATAACTTGGCTTCAACCTCCGTCGGCTCCAAAGCCCTTGGCCAGAACCTGCACAGTTCTTTTGTCTTTTAACAGTCCCCCCCCCCCAAATTTCCAACTTATTAACAAATACAAAAGAGAGAAGAACATAGAAATGTGAGGAATTGGTAAAAGATGTTTGGAAGTCAGAAAGAGGGAGGGAAGGGTGTCGGTGCTTTGTGTGAGCAATGTTTTAAGTTATGGATTTGTGTAATTAAAATGTAATGAAATATGGAAAACTCAATAAAAATCATGATAAAAAAAACAAAAGAGAGAAGAACAAATTTCTCAAACATATACGAATAAGGGATTCATCATTCGGATTTGGGTAGCCAGATTCTGTGCGATTGCCATATAACTTAGGGAACAAGCTGTGCTATTATAATGATTAAGGTTTTAAATGATAATTTTAGGTTATATATTAGTGACTAAGCTTTAATTGATTTATTTTTAAACTGTTGCTATATCTGTATCGTCCCTGTTATACCTAACTGCAAATTCAAATGTATCCCTATTGTGTTTTATGACTTCCTCGATATTGTATGTGGGCTGGAATTGGTCTGTGACCGAAATAATAAAATTCAATTCAGGGATTCATCAAAATCGAATTTCCTTTCATTCTTTTCATTATTTATATGTGCTGGAAGTATGTGCTGCACATAACAGCAGCAGCAACAACAACAATTCACAGCTGTGACTTTGACATGTGAGATCATCAAGTACAGCAATTTTAATCAAAGTCTGAGATGCAGTAGTGCTTTTTCGTTTTGTTATTTTACAGAATTGTGGTGATCCATTGTGGAACAACCCCACTAAGAAGGTAACTGGTTGGCTAGACCTCCTCACTGGTTGCAAAGCGGCCCCCCATAACCGTTCAAGATTTAGGACCCCCCCCCAAATGTAGGGGGAGGAGAACGCCCCGGGGGAGAATCAATGCAAGAGACTTACCTTGGGGGCTTCACCTCCATCCCAAGCAACTCCTAAAATCAAGGGCAGGCAGCTTGCCAGCAGCACAGAGAGGGAAGGGACCATGGCGATGTCTGAGTGGTCCAGCCTGCCAGAGAGCATCCTTGGCCAGAACAGGTGTCTCCAGCAGGCCGCGCCTGGTATCGGGCATGCAAATGTTTGTGCTGGGTGTCCGAGATCCAGGCAGGATGCAGCCCCAAAGCTTGTGTGCTCAAGGTGGGAGCTCCTTGTGGGCGGGGCTAGAGCACAGGTGTGAGTGGTGGGGGAGGGGCAATGGCACTGGAGCCAGGCTGGGCTTGGCAAAAGAGAATATTATTAGCGAAGAATTGGAAGAAAGAAGATTTTCGAACCGCCGACCTTCCAATTAGCAAGTCCTAGGCTCTGTGGTTTAACCTACAGCGCCACCCACATCCCACAACATATATAAAGGTAAAGGGACCCCTGACCATTAGGTCCAGTCGTGACCGACTCTGGGGTTGCGGCGCTCATCTCGCTTTATTGGCCGAGGGAGCCGGCCTACAGCTTCCTCAGCTTCCATCATATGGCCAGCATGACTAAGCCATCATGTGGCCAGCATGACTAAGCCTCTTCTGGCGAAGCAGAGCAGCGCACGGAAACGCCGTTTACCTTCCCGCCAGAGCGGTACCTATTGATCTACTTGCACTGTGACATGCTTTCGAACTGCTAGGTTGGCAGGAGCAGGGACTGAGCAACGGGAGCTCACCCCGATGCAGGGATTCGAACCTCCGACCTTCTGATCGGCAAGTCCTAGGCTCTGTGGTTTAACCCACAGCGCCACCCGCGCCCCTCCACAACATATATATATATATAACACAGTAAAATACCAAACATTAAAAACTTCCCAATACAGGGCTGCCTTCAGATGTCTTCTAAACATTATGCAGTTCTTTAATTTACCTTTGCTAGCCTTGGGTGCCTTTTAAATGTTGGAGGCATGACATGTTTCCAAACACCAGTTGCTGGAAAGTGCAGGAAGAGAGAGTTGTTCTTGTGCTCGGATCCTGCCTGCGGGTTTCCCACGGGCAACGTCTCAGCCACTGTGAGAACAGGATGCTGGACTAGATGGGTCCCCTTTGGCGTGATCCAGTGGAATCTTATTACAGTATGTTCTTACTGAACCTCCAGGTCCAGAGGCACTCTATCTAGATTCCTAGGTTCTTGGGGGCATTTGACCACTTGTGTGAAGAGGATGCTGGACTAGATGGGCCGCCTTTGGCCTGATCCTGCAGGCTCCCCTGATATTCACCAGAACTCATTTAAATGGCAGTACTGTAATAAACAAAAATCTGCCCTTATTCGCTTATAGGGGACACAAGAGCCCTTGTAGAGTCCATTGCAGGTTCTCCATCGGTAGGAGAAAATAACAGAGGCCAGCCAGAGAATATTGAGAAGCAAAGCAGCTAAGAAGCCTGATCTTTATTCATCTGTTGCAACAGGGTGCCCCCTTCACACGCAGGAAAGGAGGAGGACCCAAAACAAAGGTGTGTCCGCTGTTATATATACATTTTAAATTGCCCGCCCTGGAGTCCAAGACCACCCCCCAGATACATCATACCTACATCACAGAAAGGGTGGTCTACAACAGAAATCTGAGTGCATTGTTTACCTCCTGTCTGGCAGGTTACCTGTTAAATGTCACTTGATTGGATACCCTGGGGAGCCTGGCCAGTCTTTTGTAATGATAAATACTTAGTTCCTGAGCCAGGTCACAGGCTCACACCCTGTTCATATCTTGAATGTGCCCTTAAGACAGGATTTGTGAGGAAAGAGACAATGGGGAGGTTTCCCACTTTGACCTTGTATTTGAGGTCAATTTGTTCAGGACTTTTTTTCTGTGGGGTTTCAGACATGTGGTTTATATATTTATGTATGTGTTTGCTTGGCACATTGGTACATTTATGAACATTTATTACATACCTAAGACCTTAAAATTCTTATAACAGTGCTCACAGCTTTTGGATATACAGTGCAGTAATAAATAAGAGAGAATGAGCAAAGGGCCTTCTGTTCCTTAGGGATTAATCAGAGTCTGTTCCTAAACCCCAAGAGATTTGAAGCAAAGTTTCCTTTTCGCAATCTGCAGACATGGTGGTTGGGCTATTCACTTAAACATTGCCCTGTCATTAAAAGGGATGTGATATTGTGCGCCCACGCACCTGGGTGTGTGCATCGAAGATTGTGCACGAGTGAAACTCGGGTGCTTATCAGATTAGGCACACTTTCGCATGCCGGGGGAAGAGGAGAAGGAGAGCAGCCTTCTAGCAGATTTCTGCAACACTCGCTCTATCAGGAACACGAAAGGGCATGTCGGTGGCTTGGCAGCAAGCCAGGAGACAGAGTCCGATCCTGCCTGGGCCTGAACTCCAGGGAGGAGCATGCAGACGAAGGCAAAACAGCTGAGATCATTTCCGAGGCAGGTCTGGAGACGGGCAGGAGGACTGGGGAGATCTTCTGCGGTGGGGGGCACAGCTGAACGAAGCCCCCGGAGCCTTCGCTGGGGACGGATGAGACAGCTGGAGTGGGGAGGCAGGTGAGTTCATCTGCTGCAGCCTGTCAGGAGTCGACCGGATGCTCAGCCTGAGTCCCCCCATGATAACAATTTGTTGTTTAGTTGTTTAGTCGTGTCCAACTCTTCGTGGCCCCCTGGACCAGAGCATGCCAGGCCCTCCTGTCTTCTACTGCCTCCCGCACTTTGGTTAAACTCATGTTCGTACCTTCGAGAACACTGTCCCACCATCTGGTCCTCTGTCATCCCCTTCTCCTTGTGCCCTCCATCTTCCCCAGCATCAGTGTCTTTTCCAGGGAGTCTTCTCTTCTCATGAGGTGGCCAAAGTCTTGGAGCCTCAGCTTCAGGATCTGTCCTTCCAGTGAGCACTCAGGGCTGATTTCCTTAAGAATGGATACGTTTGATCTTCTTGCAGTCGGTGGGACTCTCCAGAGTCTCCTCCAGCACCAGAATTCAAAAGCATCCATTCTTCGGTCGGAGAAAATAACAGAGGCCAACCAGAAAATATTGAGAAGCAAAGCAGCTAGTAATCCTGATCTTTATTGATCTTTTGCAACAGGGTGCTCCCCTCACATGCAGGAGAAGGAGGAGGACCCAGAACCAAGGTGTGCCCGCCCTTATATAGACATTTTAAATTCCATGCCCTGGAGCTCAAGACCACCCCCCACAAACATCATACTTACATCACAGAAAAGGTGGTCTACAGCAGAAATTTGAATGTTGTTGTTTTTCCTGTTTGCCAGGTTATCTGATAATACCTTATCTGATTGCCTTTCCTGGTAGTCTGTCACCCTTTGAGATGGTGATTTCCCAATTCCTGAGACAATGGGAAGGCTCCCTCACCCCCTCCCTCCTTGCAGAGAAAACATTTGGTCAGTTTGGGAGTCAAAATGGTTTCAGGTTGGTCTTCCTGTGCTGATCTATGTACATGCTTGGTTGGTACAGCTATGAACATTTATTATACATATATAAGACCTTAAATTTTATTATTACAGAACCACGTGTCTGAAATAGTATGGGAGAGCAATCCTAGAGCCATTTCAACTCTCCCAATGACCTAAAATATTCCTCTGCAGGAAGGGAGGCAAACGGGGAAAGTCTTCCCATTGTCTTTTCGCTGGGAAATCCTGTCTTAAGGGAGTATTTGAGTATTTGTGTAGGAATAGGGTGAGCCTGCGACCTGGACTCAGAAACTAGAGTTTTTGCCATCACCAAAGAATGGCCAGGCTGCCCAGGTAATGCAACCAGTGACCATTATCAGGTATCCTGGCAGGCAGGAGTTCTGCTGTAGACCGCCTCCTCCTGTGATGTATGTATGATGTTTCGGGGGGTGGTCTTGGACTACAGGGTGGGCAATTTCAAAAGTCTATATAAGGGCTTCACATCATTGTTCTGGGTTCCTCCTCCCTCCTGCGTGTGGGGAGTGGGGACCCTGTTGCAGCAGTTTAATAAAGATCAGGCTTACTAGCTGCTTTGCTTCTCAATATTCTCTGATTGGCCTCTGTTGTTTTCTCCTACCAATAGGAAACCCACTTAAGGACTCTACACAGGCTCTGGAATACCCCATAAGGGAAAGGGAACAGTTTTTCTTATAACAGCCTGTAAGCAGCTGAGGTCACAGAAGCATAACACTGTAGGCTTGGATGGGACCATGAGGGTCATCTAGTCCAGCCCATTGTAGCTCAAGAATCCCTGGCAGGTGGCCATCCAACCTCGGCTTATAGACCTCCAAGGAAGGACAGTCTGCCAGCTTCCGAGGGAGACTGTCCCACTGCTGATCAGCATTTGCAGGCAATAATAATAATAATAATAATAATAATAATAATAATAATAATAATAATAATAAATTTATTTATACCCCGCCCATCTGGCTGAGTTTCCCCAGCCACACTGGGCGGCTTCCAGCAAAATGTTCAAATGCAATAAAATGCAATGCTGGGGTGGTTTGGAGCTCAGCATCAAAAGGTGGCAGAATTTGGAAACTGGAGGTGTGTAACGAATGTCAGTAAATAAGCTGCAGCTCGATGATACCCAGAAGTTTCAAAAGGGAGGGAGGTTGGATGGCAAAAAAAGGATGTGGGTAGAGCTTTGGCAGCACAGAAAAAGCAGGAAAACAACCATTTAGTGCTTATCAGAGTGGCTCGTGTTTGACTAAGGTTTTGGGTGTGAAACAGGGACCAGCCGGAGGTCTAATAAAAGATTCCATGAAACAGGAAGGGGAAAGGAGAAACTTGACCCTGCCTAGCTGAACTTTGGAACTCCCTGCCACAGGAGCCTAGATGGCTTTAAAAGAGGACTGGATAAATTCATGGAGGAGGAGAGGGCTGTCGGCTGCTTGCCACAATGGCTGTGCTCTGCCCATCACGGTCAGAGGCAGCAACGCTGCTGAATGCCAGTATCTGGAAACTGCAGGAGGGGAGAGTTGCTCTTGGGTTCGGATCCTGCTGAGGGGCATTCGGTCAGCTGCTGTGGTGACAGGAGGCTGGACTAGGTGGACCGCTGGCCTGACCCAGCAGGGACTTATTATGTTATAGATACAGGTAGGTAGCCGTGTTGGTCTGCCGTGGTCGAAACAAATTAAAAAATTCCTTCCGGTAGCACCTTAAAGGTAAAGGGACCCCCGACCATTAGGTCCAGTCGTGGACGACTCTGGGGTTGCGGCGCTCATCTCGCTTTACTGGCCGAGGGAGCCGGCGCTCACCCCGTCATGGGGATTTGAACCACCAACCTTCTGATCGGCAAGTCCTAGGCTCTGTGGTTTAACCCACAGCGCCACCTGCGTCCCTTCAAATTGCAAAGGGGAGTAGCACCTTAGAGACCAGCTAAGTTTGTTATTGGTATGAGCTTTCGTGTGCATGTACACTTCTTCAGATACATGTTATGAACGCCATCTCCAACTCCTCAAAAGATTCCATCAACGGTGTCTCCGAAAATTTGTACACATGACTTGGGAAGACAGGCGAACTAATGCCAGTGTACTGGAAGAAGCAAAGATTACCAGTGTTGAAGCAATGATTCTTCAACATCAACTTCGTTGGACTGGTCATGTTTTGCGGATGCCTGATGATCATCTTCCAAAGCAACTACTTGAAAATTGAAAGTGTCATTCTGGTGGTCAACAAAAGAGGTTAAAAGACTCTCTCAAGGTAAATCTTTAAAAAGTAGCATAAACGCTGTCCTGTGAGCGCTCCAGTTGGAGAACAGCCTTTACCAAAGGTGTTGTGGGCTTTGAAGACATTCAAACTCAGGACGCAAGGGAGAAACATGCTAAGAGGAAGGCATGCTTGGCAAACCTTCACCATGATCAACTCCCACCCAGAAACCAATGTCCCCACTGTGGAAGGATGTGTGGATCCGGAATTGGCCTCCACAGTCACTTACAGACTCACTGTTCAAGCCGTGTTTATGGAAGACAATCTTACTCAGCTATGAGTGATCGCCAAAGAAGAAAGAAGATTATGTCAACCATCAAAAAGGGACTGGAGTGGCTGGGGCAATCCAGCCAGATGGGCAGGGTATAAATAGCATTATTATTATTATTATTATTATTATTATTATTATTATTATTATTATTACCACCACCACTGATAAGCCAGCATTTCACTCGCTGGTTGAGGCTGCTTTAGAGGGGAATGTTTGGCAGCTGAGTTGGGAGGGGGTCCCCCCCCCTTTTAGTTCTCTTACAGCCCTTTGCATTTACTCAAAAAGTGTCCATGGGGACACCAGCCTCTGCAGCACAGGCGCCTCTGCTTCCACCCCTTTCTCTTACTCTGCTTAGATCTCTTTCCCGCCTTGTCTGCAGGTAGCCCCTCACCTGCTGCCGCCACCTTGCAGCCTCCGACCCCTGCCTCTTCCGCTGCAGGGTCCTCATGGAGACCAGTCCCGGGAGCGGCTTGGCGGGGGTCCTGAACGGCCTGGCAGCTCAACTGGGAGAGCCCACAACTGCAGACGCGGTGAGTGCATTTATTCTACGCCAACCTCTCTTCCCCCCCAAAAAAAATTATTGGTTTTCCACATTTATGACAAAAAAAGACATTGCAAAACACACAACAAAGAAAAACACTTTACAATACAATAAACTAAACACAAAAAAGGATTATTTCTTAGATATCTTATTCTCATAGCATTGATAACTGACTTCCTCGAATCCCCTCTAACTGAATTTCATTATATCACCTGTATGACAGTTCTCCAAATTCACATATCTAATAAAATTGACTCCTAACATTTTCAAAGTTCTTCTCCTTTATTAATATTCTAATCCTTAATATTTGTTTTATTGTTCTAACTCCTCTAAACTGTGAGGCTGCCTGAAGCTGGGCTGGGCTGAGCACTTTGCTTGGCAGTGTCAAACGCAAGGTCGAGCCACAGTTTACAAGATACTAGTTATAATTTAAGGAAGAGAAACATCTTGATTATCAGAACTGTTGACAAGCGAGCCCAGGTGGCAGCTGCAGAGAGACTCCAAAACGCTGCCTTCTGCTGGATGGCACAGACTCCGGACTCGTAAATTCGAGGCCGCCGCATTTGGAGATAATTGATTTCTGCAGACTGCCGACGAATAATCTTAATTATTATGGTGCTTACTAGAAAGAACTGCAAAGATCCAGGAATCATGCCAGATTCGTTAATCAGCTCCCCACAACCCCGAAGGAGACAGAGCAAAATCACACATTATTTTCTCCAAAAGGAGGAGAGTAAGAGGGAGCTGAATGAGACTGAATGAGCTGAATAAGGGACAGAGAATGAGCTGAATAAGGGATGCGGGTGGCGCTGTGGGTTAAACCACAGAGCCTAGGACTTGCCGATCAGAAGGTCGGCAGTTTGAATCCCCACGACGGGGTGAGCTCCCACTGCTCGGTCCCACCTCCTGACAACCTAGCCGTTTGAAAGCACGTCAAAGTGCAAGTAGATAAATAGGTACCGTTCCAGCGGGAAGGTAAACGGCGTTTCCGTGCGCTGCTCTGGTTCACCAGAAGCGGCTTAGTTATGCTGGCCACATGACCCGGAAGCTGTATGCCGGCTCCCTCGGCCAGTAAAGCGAGATGAGCACCGCAACCCCAGAGTCGGCCACGACTGGACCTAATGGTCAGGGGTCCCTTTACCTTTACCTTTAAGAGGGAGCTGAATGAGACCATTCCCATTCCTCCTCCTCCCACTGTTCTGGATTGGTCAACTCATCTTAAAGGGCTCCAAACAAAACGCTAGATTTTTTTACTTTATTATGTCCGTGCTTGAGGTTGGATGGGGTGAATTCAAAAGTGGAGGGCAGAGAAATCAGCCTGCCAAACTTCTGCCCTGCAGGGCTTGGAGGAGGACTTGGAAGAGGAGGACCAGGTGAGGCGGCCAGTGGCCCAGTGGACCGTCTCGGAGGTCTGCTCCTGGCTGAGACGAGGGTCCCTGGGGGATCAGGGGAAGCCCCTTCTGGAAGCGGCGCACAGCCACGCCATCTCTGGAAAGGCCCTGCTGCGCCTGACGGACGAGACGCTGGAGCGCATGGGAGTTGCGCCCTGGAGCTTGCGGCAGGAGCTGTTGCGTGAAGTCCTGCACCTCCGCATTCAGCAGGAGATGAAAGACTTGCTGGACATTACAGGAGGTGAGGATGGGCACCCAAAGCGGGCGGGGAATTGCACGGGTGCCCCATAACTGTCCCCATCTACTGGGTGCTGTCAAAGTCCTTACTGGGACTGGAACGGAAGCAGAATGTGTAGGGGTGGGGGTGGGGAGACCAAGGGCATTGATTTAATAAAATGTATTCCTGTTAACGGAGAAATCTGAGGGCTCCCTTGGACAAAAAGCAAGGACACCAGCCAGGAATACCAGAGCAAAACAACAGCCAGTAGGCTTGGTCTTGATTGAAGACTGTCGCGACAGGACTCCCACCTGCCACCAGGTGGAACAAGATGGAAGTCCCGAACAAAAGAGAACCCAAACTTTTATTAGCTGCTCATCCCCATGTTACACCCCCCAAAAAACTACATCACTCATACATCACGGTTACATCATGAAAGGGGAGGTCTGGTGGCCGTAATCTGAGCATCCTGGACCCTGCCCCATGGTTCCCCTTGCCCCCCACCAAACACCCATCAAGTGGAACAAAAGAGATATTTACATTTCCCTGTTTCCCAGCCAAGTTCATCACACCCTTTTGTCTTCATCTGGGTTTGTTCTTTCTGGAATGGCTACCTGTCTGGCACTCAGGTATCAGGATGTCAGGAATTATCCCTCAGGCAGAGGTGCTGCTGAATAGCTGAGCTCACAGGTCTATAGGAATTTCTGAAGTTGCCCCAGTGAGCCAGTACAGAGATACATTGATCAGTGAATTCTTCCATTTGGTATCGTGCAGCAGAGGCCCTTTGAATAGATAGGAAGAAACTGTGATGAAGTGTTTTGTGGGGACAAATCACAAAAGTGATTGTGCTGATTTTGGTAGTGGGCTGCATGTGCACGATATCTGCTGGAGGGGCAACCCCCCCCAACCTATACATAAATTCTTGGAACAACCCCTACATAATACATTTTAATTGAAGTTTTAACGTTATAAGGGGAAAATTACAGAAGGAAAAATAATAAAGAAAACACACACAGAGAGAGAGAGGATACCAGGGTACAAGGGAGAGCATTTTGCAGCATTAGTGCAGACATGGAACATGATTTCCGCAGAAAATTGCTCGGCCTTAATACACATTTGGAAAGGAAAATTCTGTAGTGATTGCCTGTACTGTATGCTGAATGTGAGGTGGATCAAACAGAAACATTAATTTTAATTCCCTTGCTTTTGTATCATGTGTCCAACCGTAGGAATAGAGCTGTAATGAAACGTGGTAAGATAAGATAAAATATAAAAGCATGGGTGTGGAATAAAATTGATACACTGCTAGATTATTTGAAAAGACCCTCAAAGCGGCTTACAAAACAATGAAATGATCAATTAGAAAGATTAACAACACTTTGGAAAGTTTAAATAACAATAGGCTACAAACAGGTTAAAACTCGCATCAACTTTCTAAGCATCTGGATAGGCAGATGTTTTATTTAGTGGGTGCCGAAAAGAGGAGAGGGAAGGCGCCCGCCTGGTGTCAATTGGCAGGGAGTTCCAAAGTGCAGGTGCTGCCACGTTTAAGTCTGAGTTCTTACAAATGCGGAGCGGGTGTTCATCGCACCTGTAGCAGTGCCAGATCCGCCGATGGAAGTGTTTTAATTAGCGGTCTTGCAATATTTCTGAAGGAAACTAAACAACCCCTTCTCCGTTCTTCCACACACAGCGTGATCGAGGGAGGCCTGCTGTCAAGTGAGCTGCTCTGTCTGGGATGCAAAAAAAGGAACACGCTTTGGTGCCAGCCTTTGGCCGCAACTGGATCTCCGAGCTGGACGGTGGAGCCCAGTGCCAGGCCAGGCTTCAAGGACTGCAGAATGGAAGGAGCTGCTTTGGGGTTTGGACTCGGCAGTTTGCAGCCCCGGGGGCAAAGGCTTTTGTGGCAGAATGTGGGTTTTCTCGGGGAAGGGGGTTGCCCCCCATGCCTGTAGCCTCCTAGGGGCCTCCTGCAAACATCTGGTCAGCGGAGGATGGCCCACGCTTCGTAGGTATGGGGAAGGGTTGCAGCCCAGCAGCGGAAGTTATGTTGCTAGGCATGCAGAAGGTACGAGGCTCAACATTCGGGGGGCTGCAGGCTGGGGGGGGGGGGAATCCCTGCAGAGATCCTGCCAGTCAAGGTGGGCCATACTGAGTTAGGCGGACCAGGTGTCTGACTGATTTGCCGAGACGTAAAGCTACGAAACTGTTGTTCGAGAAAGTGTTTGTCATTTTGAATTCAACAGGACTTGCTTCCCGGAAGCCCCGTACAGTGGTACCTCGGGTTACAGACACTTCAGGTTACAGACTCCGCTAACCCAGAAATAGTACCTCGGGTTAAGAACTTTGCTTCAGGATGAGAACAGAAATCGTGCTCCGGCAGCGTGGCAGCGGGAGGCCCCATTAGCTAAAGTGGTGCTTCAGGTTAAGAACAGTTTCAGGTTAAGAACGGACCTCCGGAACGAATGAAGTACTTAACCCGAGGTACCACTGTATGATACCACTGTGCTCTGGTCCATGGGGTCACGAAGAGTCGGACACGACTAAACGACTAAACAACACCACCACTGTATGATGCTACAAATAAAACAGATACATAACCTATTTCCTGCCCTGCAAAATTAAATCACCTTTTATTACAGTGCAACATACAAAAATATTACTTTAGTACATGGGTAGGCAAACTAAGGCCTGGGGGCCGGATCCGGCCCAATCGCCTTCTAAATCTGGCCCACAGACAGTCCGGGAATCAGCGTGTTTTTACATGAGTAGAATGTGTGCTTTTATTTAAAATGCCTATCTGGGTTATTTGTGGGGCATAGGAATTCATTAATTTTTTAGCCCCCCCCCCCATAAAATATAGTCCAGCCCCCCACAAGGTCTGAGGGACAGTGGACCAGCTCCCTGCTGAAAAAGTTTGCTGACCCCTGCTTTAGTATATATGCAGCTGAGTCCTTGTGTGTTTAAATTCCTTAATCTTCGCAAGCTTGACGTGTGCAGCAGGGACTGTTGCTGGAGCTGGGATGTTGCACTGCAGAGAGTTCTTCAGCCACAAGGTGGTGAGCTAGAGAAAGAAACCAGCAGGCAGAGAACATTGGGATTAGGAACCAGCACTGCATTTAAGGCCTTCTCGTATCTCTGCACCCCTAGCCTAAAAAGGCACCCCCACACTTAAAATAATAGACTCATAGAGTTGGAAGCGACCACAAAGGTCATTTACAGAAGAGCAATGTCCAGCCACTTTTGATAGATGGGGTCTGTGTGGAGAGGGCAACAACGTTCAGATTTTGGGGCATTGAATTACAAGAGGATCTGTCCTGGAGTGTCAACACAAGGGGGCTTGTGAAGAAGGCGCAGCAGAGACTGTACTTTTTGAGAATTCTAAGGAAAAACCATCTTCCGCAGAAACTGCTGCTTGCCTTCTATCACTGTGCCATTGAGAGCGTGCTCACTTATGGCTTATGTGTGTGGTACGGAAGCTGTACTACCCAGGACAGGATGGGGTTGTGCAGAGTTGTTAAGGCAGCAGAGAGCATTGTTGGCTGCCCACTCTCCACCTTAGAGCAGATTTATGCCACAAGGTGCCATAGGAAGGCACTGGACATAGTTAAAGATCCATCGCATCCTGGTCACTGTCTCTTCGAGCTCCTGCCGTCGGGACGGAGATACAGGACGATGAAGACAAGAACGAGCCGTCTTAAGAACAGCTTCTTCTCCAGAGCGATCTCGGCCCTGAATGGGAACCTGGACTTTGAAAGTCATCTAATCTTCCTTGCTGTACTATACTGTATTGTTTTAATTAGGGTTTTTATGGAGCAGTCAAGTAATTTCGTTGTCCCCGAGAGGGGGTAATGACAATAAAGATATTATTATTATTATTATTATTATTATTATTATTATTATTATTATTATTTCATAGAATCATAGAATCATGGAGTTGGAATAGACCACAAGGGCCATCGAGTCCAACCCCCTGCCAAGCAGGAAACACCATCAGAGCACTCCTGACATATGGTTGTCAAGCCTCTGCTTAAAGACCTCCAAAGAAGGAGACTCCACCACACTCCTTGGCAGCAAATTCCACTGTCAAACAGCTCTTACTGTCAGGAAGTTCTTCCTAATGTTTAGGTGGAATCTTCTTTCTTGTAGTTTGGATCCATTGCTCCGTGTCCGCTTCTCTGGAGCAGCAGAAAACAGCCTTTCTCCCTCCTCTATGTGACATCCTTTTATATATTTGAACATGGCTATCATATCACCCCTTAACCTCCTCTTCTCCAGGCTAAACATGCCCAGCTCCCTTAGCCGTTCCTCATAAGGCATCGTTTCCAGGCCTTTGACCATTTTGGTTGCCCTCCTCTGGACACGTTCCAGTTTGTCAGTGTCCTTCTTGAACTGTGGTGCCCAGAACTGGACACAGTACTCCAGGTGAGGTCTGACCAGAGCAGAATACAGTGGCACTATTACTTCCCTTGATCTAGATGCTATACTCCTATTGATGAGGCCCAGAATTGCATTGGCTTTTTTAGCTGCCGCGTCACACTGTTGGCTCATGTCAAGTTTGTGGTCAACCAAGACTCCTAGATCCTTTTCACATGTACTGCTCTCAAGCCAGGTGTCCCCCCATCTTGTATTTGTGCCTCTCATTTTTTTTGCCCAAGTGCAATACTTTACATTTCTCCCTGTTAAAATTCATCTTGTTTGTTTTGGCCCAGTTCTCTAATCTGTCAAGGTCGTTCACCCCCTCTGGCCAGGACCAACCAAGGCCCCTTCACAAATTCCTCTTTGGTCTCAAACCCACTCTGCTGATCCTCAGCGTCCTTGGACAGTCCTTGGGAGGCAATCGACTCCCTGTGTAGCACTTAGGCAGCGGCTGGTCTCAGATTCCTAAAAATCTCTAAAGGCCCAAAGTACGTTTCCGAGCACAATTCAAAGTGTTGGTGCTGACCTTGAAAGCCCTAAATGGCCTCGGCCCAGTAGACCTGAAGGAGCGTCTCCACCCCGGACACCTGGGTCCAGCTCTGAGGGCCTTCTGGCGGTTCCCTCCCTGTGAGAAGTGAGGTTACAGGGAACCAGGCAGAGGGCCTTCTTGGTGGTGGCACCCGCCCTGTGGAACGCTCTCCCTTCAGATTTCAAGGAGATAAAGAACTACACTACTTTTATACCCTGCTCAAGTGGCTGGGTTTCCCCAGCCGCTCTGGGCAGCTCCCAACAGAATATTAAAAACACGATAAAAGATCAAACATGAAAAACTTCCCTAAACACGGCTGCCTTCAGATGTCTTCTAAAGTCAGATAGTTGTTCTTCTCTTTGACATCTGGTGGGAGGGCGTTCCACAGGGCAGGTGCCACCACCGAGAAGGCCCTCTGCCTGGTTCCCTGTAACGTGGCTTCTCTCAGGGAGGGAACCGCCAGAAGGCCCTCGGAGCTGGACCTCAGTGTCCGGGCTGGATGATGGGGGTGGAGATGCTCCTTCAGGTGAACACACCTGAAGCTCCCGTTGGGCTATGGGGAACACACACCACAGAGATGGCAAACACTTTCAAAGCAGCAAGACAAGCTATGAGCCACCATCTCTCTGGCTTCCCCTAAGCCCAGAAAACAACAGGAGCAAGGATCTCGCCTGGTGGCTTAGGACCAGGCCGTCTGAAACAGTATTTCCCCCATATGAACGAGCCTTTGAGATCTTCAGGGGAGGCTCACTTGGTAGGGACGTCTCGGTGGCTGTTCCCAGGGCAACTTTGGAACTCCCTTCCTAGAGAAGCCAGACGGGCTCCCTCCTTGTCTTTCCACCATTAAGATCTTGTTCCGACAGGCCTTTCTTGGGGAACTGTTTTTTTTAAAGGAAAAAGCTTTTAATAGTGCTGCTTTTATTATCTATAAATTAGTTTCTTGTACTGTTTTAATTCTAGGAAGAATTAAAACAATATTAAGACCTTGAGTCCAGGTCTGGGGAAAAGGAATAATAATAATAATAATAATAATAATAATAATAATAATAATAATAATAATAATAATAATAATAATTTATTATTTGCACAGTGCTGCCTTCAGATGTCTTCTGAATGTCAGGTAGTTGTTTATCTCTTTGACATCTGATGGGAGGGCATTCCATCATCATCATCATCATCATCACCATCTTTCTCCCCAGCCAGCCCTAGCAACCTGGTCAGAGTATGGTGGCAGAAGCTGCAGCCGTTTTGCTAGCTTCCAGTCACTAATTCAGCATCTGCAAGAGCAACCCCCCTCCCCAAACTGTTTCCACAGCAGAAACACCCACAGAGATGAGGAGACAGAGATGTTAAAAAGCTTGGGAAATTTTTTTAATTGAAGTTTTATTTCATAATAGGTTCTCTTTTTTTGAAGCTTTGTTGTTTCCGTTTTTAAATACAATAAATATTCACCAATAGCATTTTATGGAATGGAATCCAAATCCATTTGCAAGACTGTCAACCTCAAACAATGTACATATGAGACAGACATGAATCCTGATGGAAGCGTGAAGAAGGGGTGGCGAAGAAATCTGCTGCGAGAAATGTACAGGTTTCCTATTGCAATTTTCTCTCGCTAATAATAATTATGGTCTGTACAGTCCGTTTGCTTTGACACAACCCAGCCCTTGGCAGAGTCTGGCGCAACCGGTGCTTTGCAGAATACCAGCCGGAGAGACCCCCCCCTTTTGTCAGAGGACGGTCCTTCCTGGCAGAGAGAGCACCATCGAGGCCCAAGGGACTGAACATTCGCCCTAATATTTAGCGGGGGACAAAAGAAGCAGCGAGCATTCAAAATGTGACCCCCTACCCCAATACAATGCAATACACTGGAGAGAAGGAAGGATTCCAACCTCACCTTTCACGTGATAGCTTAAAAATCAGCTTCTAAAAAAAGAAAAATCGCCAGGGCCACGGAGACCCAGAAGGTAAACTGGTCCAAAATGCATGCATGGTTCAGCCCCGTTCCCAATTGCCTGCATTTTCAGAGTAAGGCTGTAACGCAGAGAAAAGGTTTCGGCTACTTTCCTCCCCAACCGCAAGAGATCTGAAGTATGCTGTTGAAGCCTTCCAGGTGAGAGCTCTCGAGTCCTGTCTAAAGGGGTGAGCTCTGTACCGAGAGCCCCATTTCCAATTCTTGGGGGAGGGGGCGCAAAGATGCTGTCCCAACTTGCTGCATGGGGAAGGCGACGAAGGCCTGAACTACACCGGCAGGGCATGTGTCTGTCCTACGCAGAGAAACAGACCAATCCAAGATAGCAGTGGAGCCCGTTGAGTGGGGAGATTGCAAACAGGAGTATCTAAGTTTGGGGCGAGAAACCTTGGGGGGGGCCCATATCTTGCTGGACTCCTGCTCACATCACTCTAGACAATGCTGGCTGCGGCTGATGGCAGCAGGAGTCCAGCAAGATTGGGGGGGGCACACAATTATTCCCCACCCCTGCTCTAAGTTATCACGAAATATCTTACTTCCTAGGATTGCTTTTCAAATGAAAATGGCACTTTGGAATAGCTGCCCAGCCCCACACGCATGACTTGCACACCCACAGCTGTGGAGACTCATGCGCTGAACACCCTGCTCTGAAATCAAGGCGGGGGGGAGGGGGAGGCAGCCGAGGAGCAGCCTGGGTTGAAGGCCAGTTGTCACTCAGCCGCCAAGCTGTTTGCATCCAGCTCTGATTCATCTTAGTCAAGCCTGCATTTGGGCTGGGGTGGGGGGGGGGAGAGAGAGGTGCTTCTGCAAAGCACAGGGACTTTCTACATCTAGACCTCTCTGCCTGCTAGGGAGTTTCTGAGCAACAGGGAAAGCTGGCCGTGTCTCTGTGCAAACCACTGCTTGGACTACAGGTTGCTACTACCAAAGCCTGAACCTTACAGGATTGCAGGGCACTGATTTGGGGTGGGGTGGGGTGCTGTGCCGCTCCCCGCAGCTCCTTTCCCCACGCCTCCGGAGAACTGCGTCTGAAAAGTTTGAGCCAACCAGCAGCGCATCTGCAGCTACACAGGCAGCAGTAGTGAATCAAGGCAGAGAAAGGAAGATTTCGCTCTCAGGACGTACAAAAACGCGGGGCAGTGATTTCTGACGGCGACAAAGGACTGCAAAATGTGGAGCAAGTACTTTAAGGAAGTGTCACAAGCGCTGCCTCAGATGCCCCTTTCAATTGCAGAGGGAATATCAGAAGGAGAAGGCGGGTTTGGGTTCGGAGAGGACTCCTCAAAGCGTTTTTACAATCACCTGCTGAGAGTGGCAGCGGGCACACATTCACCTCTTCAACATGCAATACCTTTATTTCGAAGAATATTTGAGATGAACACAAAAAAACCCCTGATGCCACCAAAACCCGAGACAGAAATAATAATGGTTAAATGGTGCATCGGAGTCCCTCCCAGACTGCCGAATGAGCTTCAAACAATAAAGATGGCGAAACAGCAGAAATTAAACCCGTTTCCACAGCTGAAGATGCTACGCTGTACTCCTTTAACTTGGACAACTACTTTTCCAACATTCTGCTTAAGACGGCCGACCTTTTCTCCAACTTGAGGCAAATCTTCTTAAGGCACCAGGTTCCTTATCAAGAAGCCTAGATAGGTAAGGGAAGCCAGGTTTCTTTTGAGAGGCGACAGCCAAGCAAAGCCTGCCTTGGGAGACGCCTGGAAGTTAACACCTTTTGTCCTTTCGTCCACTCAGTGCCGGCCTGGCCCCCTCTGGACGTGCGCCTTGGAGCATGGACGATGTTTCCAAGGCAGCACTTCAAGGAATGATTTAGTGAGTCACATCATTATCGTCATCTCGGCTTATGCCATCAGGGCCTGTGCAATTTTGCCGCCAGTTACTGTCAATTTGAGAACCCCTGCTTCCAAAGCAAAGAGAGAAAGCAAAGAGGAACACATGTTCTCACAATGATTCATTAGTCAAATACACACACACACACAAAATAAAGGAGACCCTCCCTCTGACTCAGCCGCCTCCAGAATTGGAAACCGGCTCTGGGGTGGGTCTAACTCAGTGCACCAAAATTATCAACTGATTGCTGCATTTCATTTCGGCTGTGATAGCGTCAAGTATTCAAAGCACGTCTCGTTTCCTCTGTACACCCAACTTTTTCTGTGCAAAATCATTTAATTAAAAAAAAAAAAGTGAGTGAGTGAGAGAAGTCTCCCCAATCCCCATCTCTGGTTCACCTTTTACAGCCATGAAAACATTCACCAAACAAGCGAAGAATGAGAACCTGTTTCTGTTTCATCACCCATGCCCAGAGGCCAGTGCTCTTTCCTGCTGGTTTTTTGAGAGGTGCCTCACTAAGGGTCAGAGCAAGCTCTTCCCTTGCTCATAACACACCAAAAGAAATAAAAAAGGCATTTAAAGTGTGGGAAGAAAAGAGAAGAAGAAAAGGATCTATTTACAAGGGGCTGGAGGCAGGAAAGAGCACTGGCTCCTGGATTTTCACATTGCTTGTTGACATAATGATTTAAGCTTGCAAAAAGAAAGGTTAAATAGTCATTTCACAATTCCCATTTCTCTCTCTCTCCCCAGAGTGGAATGTATCATCCACAAGAGCGGGTCGCCCCCTCTCATTTTAGGAGCAGAAGCCATAAGCAGCCCCTGCCCTCGGAATCACGTAGGAACATCCTTTGCTGTGACTGGGTTTCCTCCAGGTGCCACCGTTCCAAAAAAGTTGGGTTTCGGCTGCCCTCTTCATACCAGGACGCACAGGCGTACCCACCCCAAACACAAGGCTTGTTCATGAAATTAAACAGAAGAAGGGAGGGGGAATCGGCGCAGACTTCACCATCACGCAGTTCAAGCAGGGTTAGGATGGCTGGACACAACATTTGGGTAACAAACACAGAGGAAAGCCACCTTCAGCTACTAAAGCCGGGCATGGAGGCAAACACAGAGCTCAGTTGCCGTTTCGACGAAAGCAGATCTCGATTATTTCCTCTAGAGGGAAGCAGAGCTACTCAGAATGGACCCACACGGAAGGGTTATACGCCTGACAAAACAGTTCTTGGAAACAGCCGGTCTCCCACCCCAAAGGTTATCCCACAGAAGAGTGTCGCTTGCCGCAACGTAATTCTGCCGGAAACGTGAAGGAGGGTTGCAGCTTTGCTCTCCAGAGCCGCTCAGACAGGGTGGGCTGGAAGGCTCCTCCTCCGTTGAGTGGAGACAGCATCTGCCTGCTTCAACATCTGGTTTGGCCATGCAGAAGCCACAACAGGGGTGAGTGGAAGGAGAGGAGGAAGTGAATGGAAGGATAATATAACCTACACGTTTTCACTGTGTGATTCCCGCCACCAAAGCCCCTTACTTAAAGCAGCTGATTCGTTCAAGCCACACACACAAAAACCCCTCTTGCGTGGCTGGGTCCACGGAGAGCGGGCCACGCTGTCCTCAGCGTAACCTGAAGATGTGTTGCGGCAATTGTGTGGCTTCAGAGACGCCCCTGGCGCCCGTCTGTGGTTTTTTGGGCGTCTCCCTCGAGAGTTCTGGGTGGCATGGACCCATGCTTGGTCTGGAAGCATCATGCTGGTTCAGGATATGTTCGCGGTGGTTCAGCCCCTGCCCAGCCACCTGCGCATCCGTGGGAGAGGCGGTGCAAGAAGGGTCCATCCCTCTGCAAGGCTGCCAGGCTTCGTTGCCACCCAAAGTGGGTCAAATTTTAGTTCCGTGGTGATGGCTGAAGTGTATTTACATGGGGGGGGGGCTGCGTTCACAGAGCACCTGCAGGCGGTGGGCCGGATTTCTTCTCTCCTGCCTCCACGTCTAGTCAATCGGAGCTGGGTTTTCGTAGCGAGAAGGGGCGGATGTTGAAGTGCTTGCTCAGCTGGGTCACCTGGGAGGGGGAGAAAGCAGAGGTAGAGAGAGCGGGCAAGGTGAGGGGGGTGTTGTTGCAGGAAAGCAGACCCCTGGCTGTGGCCCCCTCCCCTCCAAGCTCCATCCTTCCTTCTCCTCTGCCTGCCTTCAAGTTCTACATATACCGTATTTTTCGCTCTATTAGACGCACCGGACCATAAGACGCACCTAGTTTTTAGGGGAGGAAAACAAGGAATAAGAAAGCAACGCAAAGCCTCCTGAGCTAAGAGGGAGCGCTCCTCCATCTTTGCACAGGAGGCTTTGCGGGGCTAATCCTGAAGCCAGGAGAGCAAGCGGGAATGGTGTGCACTGATCCCTCTTGCCCTCCTGGCTTCAGTGAAAGCAAGCCTACTGGCTTTCCCCCCACCTCCCTCAAGAGCCGTGAGCTCTTTAAAGGGAGCATGGCTCTTGGGGGCTTTTCTGGGAGGTGGGGGAAGGGACAGAGCCGCTGATCTGGCTTCTGGGATAGCCCCTGCGGAGGCTGCGCACGGCTAAACAAGAAGCCAGGACAAGCCAGCGGATCGCTGCGATCCCGCTGGCTGTCCTGGCTTCTTGCTTGGCCGTGCGCAGCCTCTCCCGGGCAAGGGGAGCCTTCATCCCCTGCCCGGGAGAGGCTGTGCGCGGCTCTTGGGGGCTTTTCCCTGAGGAGGGCAGCCCTTCTCCCTCCTTGGGGAAAAGCCCCCAAGAGCCGCACACACACTCCATGCAGCTCTTTAAAGGGAGTACTGAACAGAGCCTCCCGCCTGCATTCACTCCATAAGACACACACACTTCTCCCCTTACTTTTTAGGAGGGGAAAGTGCGTCTTACAGAGTGAAAAATATGGTAACACTCCTTCTGCAGGACAGCTCCACTTACCCCTCTGCTCTGCCCAGCAATTTGCCCCGTATTTTTTTCCTCACCTCCTCTGCTCCTGGGCAGAAAGACGGGGAAGCAGCACCCCTGCTTTGCAGGGGCTGGAGTAGATGGCCTTTGGGGGTCCCTTCCAGCCCAACAGTTCTAGGACTCTGTCTGCTGTTGCTGCCCCAGAGCATCATCCTTCGTCTCCCTTTTCCCTCCTAGGGGCAGATTCTAGCTAATATGAAAGCGATGGATTCCGATTGGTTGGCCCAGAACTACATGGGCAGGAAGTCAAAGGTAAGGGGCCGATGTTGGCAGTTGCTGTGAATGTGCGTCCTCCTCCTTTATAGCCTCCCCTTTGCCTTGCCTGCAAAATGGAAAGGGCCTGGGGCAGAGGCAACATCGCTGAGGAGGAGATGGTTGGAGCTGGATCAGTGGCTCCCAAACCTTTCCCCAAGGACCACTTGGAAAGTGCCGAGAACACAGAACGTAAGAAGGCCCATTCTAACACTTCTATGACCTTCCCTCCCTCTTGCTCAACTGCTAAGAAGAAGGGATAAGAGAGCAAGCAGAAGAAGTTAATATGCTATAAACCAGAAGGGGAATTTGGGAGAAGTTGGGGGGCAGGGGATAATCGGGAATTTATTTTGTCAGATGTGATTATGTCAAAAATGTAAAACCCAATAAAACCTGAAGGAGTGTCCCCACCCCCATTATTTTGCCCAGACACTGAGGTCCAGCTCCGAGGGCCTCCCGGCAGTTCCCTTCCTTCAAGAAGCCAAGTTACAGGGAACCAGGCAGAGGGCCTTCTCGGAGGTGGCACCCACCCTGTGGAACGCCCTTCTAGCAGATGTCAAGGAAATAAACAACTATCTGACTTTTAGAAGACATCTGAAGGCAGCCCTGTTTAGAGAAGCTTTTAATGGTTGATGGACTATTGTATTTTAATATTTTGTTGGAAGCCACCCAGAGTGCCTGGGGAATCCCAGCCAGATGGGCGGGGTATAAATAAATTATAATTATAATAATTATTATATATTAAAAATTTGAAAAGAAAAAGAAGAAAAAGAAGATGGGCTGAGTCTAGAAGTGAAGCCACCCAGGGTGTGTTGCGGCAGAAACGACGAGACTGGCGGCATTTTGACCTCTGCCTGCCAAACCAGCACCGGGTCCTTTGTCGAGACTCAGCTGAAGGGCTGCCACAGCAGATGAGGCCAGCCCCCAGCTCAGCCTGCCTCAGAAGTGCTGCTGCCACAAGTCCTCTAAAGCGGTGGCTCGTTCTGGAGAGCAAACCTCAGGTGAGCCCAGGCCACAGAGAAGAGATGGGAGGCTATGGCTGGGCTCTGCGGCAAACTGCAGCAGGCAAGGGTGGTGCTGAGGATCCTTTGCAGGGCACTCTGTGCCACACAGGACGCGGGTGGCGCTGTGGGTTAAACCACAGAGCCTAAGACTTGCCGATCAGAAGGTTGGTGGTTCGAATTCTCACGACGGGGTGAGCTCCCGTTGCTCGGTCCCTGCTCCTGCCAACCTAGCAGTTCGAAAGCATGAAGTGCAAGTAGATAAATAGGTACCGCTCCGGCGGGAAGGTAAACGGCATTTCCGTGCGCTGCTCTGATTTGCCAAAAGCGGCTTAGTCATGCTGGCCACATGACCCGGAAGCTGTACACCGGCTCCCTCGGCCAGTAAAGCGAAACGAGCGCCGCAACCCCAGAGTCGGCCACGAGTGGACCTAATGGTCAGGGGTCCCTTTACCTTTACCTGTGCCACACACACCCGTGCCACGGGATCACTTACCACGCCGACTCCGTAATGGATGTGCGCCACAGTGATGAAGGTGGTGAGCAGGTAGAGGAGGAAGGTTTCGCTCTCCGGCAAGACGCCCGTCAGCACCACGAAGATGACCAGGGCCAGCGGGAAGAGCAGCCAGTTGAGAGGCTGGCAGCGGGTGCTGCTCATCTGGCAGACGATCAGGCGGCACTGGGGGGAGAGGAGGAAGAGCTGGTAAGGGAGGACCAGGATGGGAGGAGAGGTCCGCCCTCCAAGGCAAGGCACTGCTCCACCAAACAGCTGCTCCAATCCATCCAGGGCCATTTCCTGGAGCACCACTGAGGGAGCCGCTCTAGAACTTCACTGCTCCAGAGGCACCGCTCTAGGGCTTCTGGCAGAACTCTACTGCTGCAGCGCGGACAGATCCTCTGTAACAGAGAGTCAGTCCTACACTCAGGGTTCCCCACCCCGAGGCAAAGCGGCTCTCCTCCTGCCCCGCCAAGCCCCTCTGTGCACGCGTCTCTGCAGCAGAAGGAACTTACGGAAATGTTGGCAAAGGCCGTGCCGACCATGAAGTAGAAGAGGCGGGGCTGGGTCTCCAGGATCTGCGTGGGCGAGTGGAAGATCCAAATGGTGCAGAGGATGAAGAGGAGGACGGGCGAGAGGAAGGGCAGCATCGCCTCGTAGAAGGAGTGGTGCTTCAGGGTGTTGCTTCTGTAGGCTCTGAAAGGCGGGAGAGGCGTCAGCAAGAGGTCGCGTGCAGGAGCGTCGCTGGTCGAGAGCTGGTGAGGCTCGTTCGACAACAAACACCCCAGCCTTTAGTGTCACCTGCTCAGTCCTGTGGAACATTCTGCCACTGGAGACTGAGCAGGAGCTTCTGTGCCAACATCTGTTGAAAACTTTTCTATCCTGCCAGGCAATCACAAATGTATCCTTCCGCAATGGTTAACTGATGTCCGTTTTTAACTTTGTACGGAACCGCTTTGATTTTTTAAAATGACACAGCGGTATACGAGACTTTTAATAAATAAAATTTTCAAAAAGGGGGGGTGGTCCCATGAAAGGCAGCTGGGAGCACTATCAGACTAACTCTGAAGGAGGCAGAACCTGGTATAGTTCTTCCAACGGGGTCTCATCTGCAAGGCTGCAGTGTGGCCAGCAAAATTAAGATTAGGGCTGAGAAGCAAAGCCCCCTCCACCGGGATCAGGCCAGCCCCATCAGGCCTCCTCTCCCCTCAAAGGTCACCTAGGGCAGCCAGTGCCTCGGGCTGCCTCAGTGGGAGAGACAGAAAAGCAGCAGGGCTCATTCCACCAGCTTTTCCGGAGGTCCAGTTCCTCCACCGAGGCGCCTCCTGCCCCTGAACTGGGCCAGCTGGTCATTAGAGGAACAACTATTTAGAATTCGGTGCCTGAGTTTTCATTTTCCTCTTCCCTCCCTGTCCCTTTCTCCTTGCGTGTTGTGGGTTTTTTGGGAGGGCAGTATAGTTCTGCGAGATGGTCTCGTTTTGATAGTATGTAAGCTACTCTGTGGGGACGTGGGTGGCGCTGTGGGTTAAACCACAGAGCCTAGGACTTGCCGATCAGAAGGTCAGTGGTTCGAATCCCCGCGACGGGGTGAGCTCCCGTTGCTCAGTCCCTGCTCCTGCCAACCTAGCAGTTCGAAAGCACGCCAAAGTGCAAGTAGATAAATAGGTACTGCTCCGGCAGGAAGGTAAACGGCGTTTCCGTGCGCTGCTCTGGTTCGCCAGAAGCGGCTTAGTCATGCTGGCCACATGACCCGGAAGCTGTACACCGGCTCCCTCAGCCAGTAAAGCGAGATGAGTGCTGCAACCCCAGAGTCGGCCACGACTGGACCTAATGGTCAGGGGTCCCTTTACTCTGTGAGCCTTCCTGGCTGAAAAGCGGGGCACAAAATCCTCAAAATAAATAAAATACAATACATATAGGAGGCCTGGCTTTGCCCAAGAGGCCTGGCCCAGCTGGTTGAGAGAGAGCCAATCTCTCTGCTCCATAGCCTCAAAAGCAAAGGCTTGCCCTTGGCATCACTCGTGCCCCTTTTGCTTTCTCAAAACTCTCCCCACTGGGGAGACACTGAGTGGCGCTGACACCCCAGCAGAACTGGGGCAGCCAACCCCATGGGGCACTGACAACAGAGCTCAGACAGGACTTACTTGTAGTAGTTCAGCAGGCTCATGGGGAGGGTCACAGTCAGCGCGCAACCTAAGGGAGAGAGAGGAGGGCCGGGTTACGACTCGGAGCACGCGCTTTCCTTCACACAAAGACAGACGCCGCCACACAGCAAAGCCTGTTCCACAACCCTCACTTGGATTTGTAACAGCACCTTGAGGCAGGGGAATGCGAGTGTCTCCGAAAAGGGGGGAGCAGCTGCTGGTGAAAAAGGAAGCTTTAGTTGGGCTGGCTCAACAGCTGCACACCCTGCAGTGCTGGCCATTTCTATCATTCATGGAAGAATGCATTTGCTTTGTTCTGTTAATACGGCTTTAATGGGCAGTGTGCAGAGGTGAGTTGTCTTGAGGACCAAAAGGCAGGCTATAAAAATAAATGCAGTGGAACCTCGGTTCTCGAACCGCTCCATTCTCGAATGTTTCGGCTCCTGAACATCAAAAACCAGGAAGTAAGTGCTCTGGTTTTTGAACATTCCTCGGAACCCGAACATCCGATGCAACTTCTGATCTGCAAAAAAGCCTAGCTGTCAGCCAAACGGAAACCGCGCCTCGGAATTCAAACATTTTGGAAGTCGAACGTCTTTCTGGAAAGGATTATGTTCGACTTCCCGAGGTTCCACTGTATTTCACATTGAGACTGTTCGGGTTCCTTTTTTTTCAACATCAATACAGCAAACCCCCCCAAAAGCTGAATCAGTGCAACAACTTAGAAATACTGTGGATTCCTGAGGTCAGCAAAGGGGGGCAGGAGATGTTAAGAAGAGCTCTGCCTGTTCAGGCCAAAAGGCCTTTGTTTACCCCAGCATCCTCCATCCCAGCTCTGAGGGTCTTCTGGCGGTTCCCTCACTGCGAGAAGCCAAGTTACAGGGAACCAGGCAGAGGGCCTTCTCGGTAGTGGCACCCAACCTGTGAAAAGCCCTCCCTTCAGATGTCAAGGAGATATAGAACTACACAACTTTTAGAAGACATCTGAAAGCAGCCCTGTATCAGGAAGTTTTTTGATGTTTGATGCTTTACTGTGGTTTTATAATTTGTTGGAAGCAGCAAACCTAGAGTGGTTGGGCCAATCCAGTCAGATGTGCGGGGTACAAATAAAATCATCATCATTTTATGCTTTGTGCAGTGGTGTAGCGTGGGTTGTCAGCACCCGGGGCAAGGCAAGTAATTTGTGCCCCCTAACCCGTGGATTTGCACCCCCTAACCCGTGGATTTGCGCCCCCTAACCTGTGGATTTGCCCTAACCCCAGATGTTGCGCCCGGTGCGGCCGGCCCCCCCTGCACCCCCCACGCTACGCCACTGGCTTTGTGGCTTATTCATTATTTTGCATTTTAGTTTATAGGAATCAGAGTTAGAAGAAACCCCCATGGGTCATCTAGTCCAGGCATCTCCAAACTCAGCCTTCCAGCTGTTTTGGGACTACAATTCCCATCATCCCTGACCACTGGTCCTGTTAGCTAGGAATGATGGGAGTTGTAGTCCTGAAACAGCTGGATGGCAGAGTTTGAGGATGCTTGATCTAGTCTAACCCCCTGCAATACACACTCAATGTAACCTTACCCAGGACCTTAAGATGAAAGACCAAGAAAAAACAAATAGCAAATAAAAAGCCAGGCAGATTTTTTACCAACATTGTAATTATACAACAAATTTGCCCCAGACCAGCCTCAATGAAATCTTGCCACTATCGACAAGTCCAGAATACCTCAGGGATCTTAAACAGGGTCTAAAATTCTGGAGCAAGCAGTTTCTCAATTGTGACCCAGTTTGTGTACTCCAAAGAAAGGGTGCGGGGAGCACATGGCAAACAAAAGGAAACATAGAAAGCTGAACATGGGATTATGGCACTGTATGATATTAGGAAATTTTAAAATACAGGCTTTTAGAGGAAGCTCCTTACCAAAGATCATTGCAGTGAATAGGTCTCTATACAAGAAATTGAAGAGGAAAGGGTTGTACCAGGCCTCCACTCCCACTATAGACGTCACAATGTACACGATGGAAATGGTCTGAAAAGTAATCAGAGAGAGAGAGAGAGAGAGAGGCAGAATTGCAGCATCTGGAAAGACTCATCCGGCCAGCTGGTGTTTGGATAGAATGGCTTAGCGATCAGAAAGCTCTTAGCCACGTTATGACACTGCCCAAAGGAGCCTGGGCTTATGCCCCTAGGGTGGAAAAACAGACCCCACAGAGCCATTTCCCCCTCTTCATCCCACCCTGTCCCTACAAATGCATTCCCAGTGCAACTGCTGGCTGCAAACAGCAGACCCAAAAACCTGCCCAGCTTGAAGCTCCCCTGGGATGTGGCAGCTGGGCTTGGTGGGAGCTGAAGCCTGAAAAATCTTGAGGATGCCAGCTTTGCCACGGCTGGGAGAGTCACCCGCAGCCTCAGCTGGAACACAGGGATTGTACTGGTCTGTATCAGAGGTTTGCTCTTGGAAAGACCGGCAACACAACGTGAAGTGTTCTCTGAACAGGCAGGTAGACACACGCTTATTTATAAAGGTGCTAGGAACCAGCCAACCACTCCTTTGAGTTTTTGCTTTTGGTAAGAGGTTGTTTGTAACCTGATTCAGCCCACTTTCCACCACCAGACATGCAGGGGAGAAAGCGGGGCAGGAAACTAGGATTCACATCCCTGCTCAGTCACAAAGCCCACTCCCTGGCGACCTCATGGGTAAAGGTAAAGGGACCCCTGACCATTAGGTCCAGTCGGGACCGACTCTGGGGTTGCAGTGCTCATCTCGCTTTATTGGCCGAGGGAGCTGGCGTACAGCTTCCAGGTCATGTGGCCAGCATGACTAAGCTGCTTCTGGCAAACCAGAGCAGTGCACGGAAACGCCATTTACCTTCCCGCCGGAGAGGTACCTATTTATCTACTTGCACTTTGACATGCTTTTGAACTGCTAGATTGGCAGGAGCAGGGACTGAGCAACGGGAGTTCACCCCGTCGCAGAGATTCAAACCGCCAACCTTCTGATCGGCAAGTCCTAGCTCTGTGGTTTAACCCACAGCGCCACCCGCGTCCCTGACCTCATGGGAGGGGCGGATAAAAACCACTTATATTGGTCCTGAGCGGGGGTGGTGAGTCTTCAATATTCTATGCTTGTATTTTTAACTAAAATCCTTCCCTGGAAAGGCTAACGTTTGAGTGACAACTGGTTCGGGGAAAGTATGGGGCAGAGGCCTTGACTGGATTTTATCTGGACAGAATGGATTGGACATCTGCATCTGCATGTAATGGGAGGAATCTTGGACTGATTTGGCAGAAATACCAGCCTGTGAAGAGACGCTGCGAACCTATATAGGGGAACCCTGGACATAAAACCACATAAAAACATATTGTTTGATTTATCTCACTTGTTGGAAGAACTCAGAGGCTGTGGAAAATAACGAATGAATGAATGAATGAATGAATGAATAACATCAGAATGACTTATGGGAACCACTGGAAATGAATATGAGAAGCAGTAGAAGTATGAGATGATCAGACCCCCTCCAACCTCAGAGCATGGTGAAGTCTCCCCGAAAAATTTGGCATAATATTTGGATTGTTTAATTATTGAATGATTTGTATAAGTCGGAATATATGATGTGATTTGATTGGAATGTTAAATGGAAAATTTAATAAATATTATTTTTTAAAAAAAAATATTGGCCCTGAGCTTTTTGAAGAGACCATAAAGCTGGAAGGGATCCTGAGGGTCATCTAGTCCAACCCCCTGCAATGCAAGCAAAGCGTCCCTGACAGATGGCCCTCCAACCTCTGCTTAAAAACCTCCAAGGAAGGCGTCAGTGCCTTCCTGCTTAGACAGGGATTTGAGTCCGAAATATTAGCGCTCTGCGCGAGCTAAGTCCCATGGGCAATTTGCACAGCCTGTAAAAGTTACCGTATTTTTCCATGTATAAGACTAGGTTTCCCCCCTTAATAATAATGTCAAAAATTAGGGGGCGTCTTATACACAGATACATCTCCCCCCCCCATTTTCTTAAATCTGAGTCCCTAAAAATTGGGGTTGTCTTATAGATGGAAAAATAGGGTAACTCCCATGAGAGAGGGAGGGATCTGAATTCACATGAGTCTTAAGAACATAAGAAGAGTTTTGTTGGATATCTGAAGGAGTGTCTCCACCCCCATCATTCTACCCGGACACTGAGGTCCAGCTCCGAGGGCCTTCTGGCGGTTCCCTCAGTGCGAGAAGCCAAGTTACAGGGAACCAGGCAGAGGGCCTTCTTGGTAGTGGCGCCTTCCCTGTGGAATGCCCTCCCACCAAATGTCAAAGAGAAGAACAACTACCAGACTTTTAGAAGACATCTGAAGGCAGCCCTGTTTCGGGAAGCTTTTAATGTTTGATGTATTATAGTATTTTAATATTCTTTTGGAAGCCGCCCAGAGTGGCTGGGGAAGCCCAGCCAGATGGGCGGGGTATAAATAATAAATTATTATTATTATTATTATTATTATTATTATTAGGCCCAAACAGGCCCATCTGGTCCAGAATCCTCTTCTCACAGGGGCCAATGAGATGCTCCAAAGCAGGCATAGGCAAACTCGGCCCTCCAGATGTTTTGGGACTACAATTCCCATCATTCCTAGCAAACAGGACCAGTGATCAGGGATGATGGGAGTTGTAGTCCCAAAACATCTGGAGGGCCGAGTTTGCCTGTGCCTGCTCCAAAGGGAAATATATCTGCAAGCAGGACTAGGGCACCACAGCAACACTCTCCCCTTCCAGTATACCTGAAGGAGCGTCTCCACCCCCATTGTTCTGCCCGGACACTGAGGTCCAGCGCCGAGGGCCTTCTGGCGGTTCCCTCCCTGCGAGAAGCCAAGTTACAGGGAACCAGACAGAGGGCCTTCTCGGTGGTGGCGCCCACCCAGTGGAACACCCTACCATCAGATGTCAAAGAGAACAACTACTACCAGACTTTTAGAAGACATCTGAAGGCAGCCCTGTTTAGGAAAGCTTTTAATGTTTGATGTATTAGAGTATTTTAATATTTTATTGGAAGCCGCCCAGAGTGGCTGGGGAAACCCAGCCAGAGAGGCGGGGTATAAATCATCATCATCATCATCATCATCATCATTATTTCTGCATTTCCCAGGAACTGGTATTTGGATGTACTGCTGCCTCCAGAACAGAGCCATCAATAGCCCTCTTCTCCTCCATGAACTGGCCTCGTCATCTTTTAAACCCATCCAAGTTGGTGGCCATCCTTGCCTCTTGTGGGAGGATAATTTAACTCTCGAAAACACACAACCAAAGGTGGACAGGAAGAGGGACATGTCAAGCTGCTTCTTCCCTTTCGGCTCAGGAATGAAATTTGCCCCAAGAGTCTTACGTTCCCACCTGCAAAATCTATTGACCAACGCAGGTACACCCCCCTCTTCTCCCCCAGGGCAATTTACGGGACAGCATTGCACAGAGGTCTCTGCTCAGCCAAGTCCAAGTCAACAAAACCTCTCCGACTGGCTGTGTGAGGCGGCAAACATCCGGGGGCAAAGGGCCCTTCTAAGGCTCCAGCGTGGTGAGCGGCTGTTCAGAAAGCGACCCATGGCCGTGGGCTGGGGAGGGGAGGGGAAGGACAGCAGGGAAATGATTGCCCAGAGGTATTTTTCCTGCCAAGAGGGAGAGAAGGCAGAAGCTGCGCGCCTGCAGATGATCACAGGAGGCAGCGATGGTCCAGAGTGGACTGGAGAAACCCATGAAAGTGGCTAGCAATGGGGACTTAGCCAGGATGACTCTGCTCTGCCTCCACAGTCAGGGCTCTCATGCTCAGGTCCTGCTCACTGCTTTCCCACAGGCATCTTGAAGCTGACCCAGAAACTCCAGCGGGTGCAGAATGCCGCAGCGAGACTCCTTACGGGGTCCTTGCCGTGGGATCACATTCATCCAGTGCTTTACCAACTGCACTGGCTCCTGGTGGAGTCCAGGGTCTGGTTTAAGGTGCTGGTTTTGACCTTTAAAGCCCTCTGCGGCCTAGGACCCTCGTACCTATGGGATCGCCTCTCCTGGTATGCCCCGCAGAGGACCTTATGGTCTTCAAATAAAAACATCTTGGAGGTCCCAGGCCACAGGGAGGTTAGGCTGGCCTCAACCAGAGCCAGGGCTTCTTTGGCTATGACCCCGATCTGGTGGAACGCTCTGTCACAAGAGACCAGGGCCCTGCGGGACTTGACATCTTTCCGCAGGGCCTGCAAGACGGAGCTGTTCCACCTGGCCTTTGGTCTGGACTCGGTCTGACCCTTAAGTTGCCCTCCCTTTATGGTCTTGATTTATCAGCTATTTTAAAATGAGGCTGCATTTTAAATTGCATTTTAACCTGTATTTTAAATTGGGTTTCCCCCCCTCCCTCTCCCCCCCCATTATGTTTTTACTGTGATTTTATTTTATTGGTGTTAGCTGCCCTGAGCCCAGCTCTGGCCGGGGAGGGCGGGGTATAAAAAAATTATTATTATTATTATTATTATTTGTTGTTGTTTGTTTGTTATTATTATTATCTGGTCAACCACTGTGAGAACAGGAAGCAGGACTAGATGGGCCATTGATCTGATCCAGCTATTTCTTCTCGTGAGCGCAGCTGACCGATTTGCTGGTGGCTGGCAGAACACATGACCCCCTTCCTCCCCACTCCAAGGCAACGACGTCAGCCAAGTAATTAAGTCAGAGAGGACTCTGCAGATCTTAGTCAATGAATGTTGACTGCTTTGGCTGACAGACTCATCTATTAAAATGTGAAGCAGCAGGAAGGAAGGGGGGGAACCTGAGATGTCACAGCAGGCGCCATCTGAGAAGCGACTGCTGTGCTGCGGTGGAAGGAAGGCAGAACAGCCTCTTCCAAGATGTTGCCTCTTGCATGGCAGCTTTTGAAATTGGCTTCCTTTCATCAGCTGCCTGGCTTATCACTGGCACAAATAAAAAACTGATGCAAATTGTTGGGAAATCAATTGCCCCATAAAATGTTGCAGCCCTGTTGTTTTGCGTTCCCTCCTAGCGCAACCCATCTGACTCAACACCGCAATTCCTTGCAAGAGACCTTCTTGCACTCCTCCGCTGTAACTTTTACCTGCAATGTTTTGTTTTCATTTATTTCATAAAAATTTATACACCGCTTGATTGCAAACAAAAGAAAAAAACCCCCAATGTGGTTTAAAAAAAGGTAAAGGTACCCCTGCCCGTACGGGCCAGTCTTGACAGACTCTAGGGTTGTGCGCCAATCTCACTTAAGAGGCCGGGGGCCAGCGCTGTCCGGAGACACTTCCGGGTCACGTGGCCAGTGTGACGAAGCTGCTCTGGTGAGCCAGAGCCGCACACGGAAACACCGTTTACCTTCCCGCTAGTAAGCGGTCCCTATTTATCTACTTGCACCCTGGAGTGCTTTCGAACTGCTAGGTTGGCAGGCGCTGGGACCGAGCAACGGGAGCGCACCCCGCCGCGGGGATTCGAACTGCCGACCTTTCGATCGGCAAGCCCTAGGCGCTGAGGCTTTTACCCACAGCGTCACCCGCGTCCCTGGTTTACAAAAAGATAAAAGAAGGAAATCAAGGGGAAACATATTAAAACATACAAAAAGTTAAAATACTAAAACCTGATTAAAATCCACATCAGTTTTTTAAGCATCTGGGCAGGCTTGTCTAAACAAGAATGCTTTTAGCAGGTGCCGGAAATAATACAGTGAGGGTGCCAGCTTGGCATCAATAGGCAGGGAGTTCCAAAGATTTCCAAGGCCGTTTTGTAATCTTTGGAGGGGAACAGCCTGCCATTTCCAGGCATGGCTTGCTCAAGCTGGCCTGGGGCAGATCGTTAAGTCTTTCCCAGTAATGAAATTCTGTTGTCACGCTGACTAGCCCAAGGCAACCCTCCTTAAGAGGCGGCGCTCTGTGCCGCTGTGACAAACACTCCACCCCACTCCACCCACTCTGACTGCAGAAAGGCATCCTTGGAGGCGAAATAACTACACAGCCCTGCAAGCCAGGCCAGAGGTTTTTTTCTGGAGCTTGATTTCAAGAAACTGTTTCTTTTCCATCCTCTGCCTCTCAAACGAGCTCCCTTTCCCCACAATGGGCTTCACAACACCAAAAAATAAATAAAAAATACTCAATTGTCAGAATAAAACAGCACATGAAAAACAAACCAATAAAAGCAAATCCACATGCAGGTAAAGGTGATAGGCAGCCACTGCGGTGCAGTGCTGGACCAGGACCTGGGTTCAAATCCTCCCACTGGGTGTGACTCTGGGGGCCAATTGCTGCCTCTCAGCCAAACTATAACTCACAGAGTTGTTGTGGGGTAAAACGGGGAGCGGGAGTGCTAGAAGAGGCAGGCTATGAGGAGGACTGGAAACCTTTTGTTGAATAGTTAAAGCATGACTGTAAACATGTAAAAACACAGGCAGGATTTGAATGAAGAACATCAACATTTGTTGGAGAATATTGTGGAGTAGGTAGGACACAGAATGACCATAATACGCAGAAATTTTAGAAAACACGTGAAAACCACGGAGGGGGTGGAGGGGAAGTCAAATTTGAAACAAACATGATTTGGGAAAATACGTATCAAATTTGTAAACTTTCTGAAACCTAAAAAACCCCAAAGCAATATGGGGAGCAGGAGAGCTATGTGCACAATCTTGACTTCCTTGGGAGGAGAAGGCAGCCTATACAGTTGTACCTTGGTTCTTGAACGCCTTGGTACTCATATGTTTTGGCTCCCGAACACTGCAAACAGTGACTGTTCTGGTTTTCTAACATTTTTTGGAAGCCAAACGTCCGACGTGGCTTCTGATTGAGCGTAGGAAGCTCCTGCAGCCAATCGGAAGCCGTGCCTTGGTTTTCGAACGGTTCCGGGAGTCGAACGGATTCCCAGAACGGATTGAGTTTGACAACCAAGGTACCACTGTAAATGAAGTAGAGCACAAGTGGGAAGAGGGACTGGAGGGTCAGGAAGCGCCGCACTTACCACCTGGCTGATGTCGTACCCCCAGGGCAAGAAGAGAACCCCCGTGTTGTACTTCTCCCAGTGGGAGAGGATGAAGGAGAACAGGACCACCCACAGGAGGAGGTAGAGGACGAAGACGCTGACGCCGTTGGGCCCCCGGCCGAAGGTGGAGTAGACCGTCACCACGAAGAACATGCAGGCCCAGCTGTCCAGGCCGTGGTCAAAGAGCTCTCCCAGAGGGGTGCTGGACTGCGTGCGCCGGGCCTGCTTGCCATCTACGCCATCTGGGGTGGGGATAAGGAAAGGAGGGGGGTCAGAGGGACGGGTCAACTCCCTGCAGTCCCAGTGGCTGGCTGGGAGGAGAAGCACAAGCCCCAAAGCCAGAGCTTGTGTTAAAGAATCTGTATTTATCTGTTGGAGGGCCATAGATCAGGGGTAGGGTGTCTGCCTTGCAAGACCTTTAAGATCGCTTCCTGTGCTCCTAAACAGAATCAGGACTCGGTGGATAAACCGCTAACGGGATTTCTCTTACGGCCATGTTCTGGGAGGGCTTAGGAGGCGCGAACGTGAACGCTTGGTACAAGAGAGGGTGGCACGATGCCCTTACGGAGAAACTGACCCACAAATTGAGACGGGCAAGGGGAACAAAGCACAAAGAGACCTTTGTTGGAGAACGGTGGGGATTTCTTTCATTCCAGAAAACCAAAGCCTAGTCCCAAAGATTTATAGTAGCTTGTGGATCGGTTAATAAGAATATATTTAATACACATATACGCTGTTGTAAGCTGCGGTGTTCATGGATGCAGGTTTTCATAATGATTTTTTTTTGGGGGGGGGTCCTCCGGGGGAAATACAAAGGGAATTTTTTTTTAAAGCATCACTTTAAAAAGTCAAGGAAGATGAACCCCTGGCCACCTCTGACTGAGCAGAGGCTTCTTTCAAGGTGTGCTTTTAAAATCAGCTTCAGTACGAAGGGGAAAGCAGAGTCCTCTTTCAAGCACCCATTGTTAGAGCAGGGCTATGAACACCGTGGTGACGGAAGGGGGCTCCTGCATGCAAGTCGTTTGGCCCCTACGACTGCTGAGACCACTGTTGCAAATACCCCCTTCTACCGCCTCTTAAAGGTAAAGGGACCCCTGACCATTAGGTCCAGTTGTGGCCGACTCTGGGGTTGCGGCGCTCATCTCGCTTTATTGGCCGAGGGAGCCGGCGTTCAGCTTCTGGGTCATGTGGCCAGCAGGACTAAGCCGCTTCTGGCGAACCAGAGCAGCGCACGGAAACGCCGTTTACCTTCCCGCCGGAGCGGTACCTATTTATCTACTTGCACTTTGACGTGCTTTCGAACTGCTAGGTTGGCAGGAGCAGGGACCAGACAACTGGAGCTCACCCCGTCATTGCAGGGATTCGAACCGCCAACCTTCTGATCAGCAAGTCCTAGGCTCTGTGGTTTAACCCACAGCGCCACCCGCGTCCCTTTCTACCGCCCACAGACACAAAGACACAGTAAAGAGCCAGCTTTTACCTAGCGTGTAAGCCATGAAATTGAGGAGGCCCACCATGACCCAGACTTTGTTCGGAACGTGCTGCTGATCGGGTGCTGTGGAAAGAAAACCATTTTGAGCGTCAACACAACCTCCAGGGACATGTTTGCTGCACAATCATTACTGCTATTATAACCATTACTGTTATTATTATATATTATGCTGCCCTTCATCTGAAGACCCAGGCCCACAGGGGTCAGCAAACTTTTTCAGCAGGGGGCTGGTCCACTGTCCCTCAGATCTTTTTGGGGGGGGCAGACTATATTTTTGGGGGGGGGAATGAACGGATTCCTATGCCCCACAAATAATCCAGAGATGCATTTGAAATAAAAGGACACATTCTACTCATGTAAAAACTCATGTAAAAACACGCTGGATTGGGCCAGATCCGGCTCAATTGCCTTCTAACTCTTGTCCGCGGATGGTCCGGGAATCAGCGTGTTTTTACATGAGTAGAATGTGTGCTTTTATTTAAAATGCATCTCTGGGTTATTTGTGGGGCATAGGAATTCATTCATATTTTCCCCCCAAGATATAGTCCGGCCCCCCACAAGGTCTGAGGGACAGGGGACTGGCCCCCTGCTGAAAAAGTTTGCTGACTCCTGGCATAAGACATACAGGAAGGGGCATGATTCCTGCCCAAGACTGAAGAGGCATCAGAAATGAAGGTCAGGACAATAAACAGGTTAACTGGAAACATGAAGAGTTTGGATTTGAGATGCTGCAAGGACTATCCAGGACAATTTACTGGGACGATTCGCCGAGATGTAACTGTGAAGGACGACAAGGAGAAGGCCACACAAGCAGCAGCAACAACAGGAGCAGACGGCAGGAGATGGGACTTATATTTGTTTTATTTATAATGATATTTGTACACCGTTGTAGAACAGAAAATAATATATCAAAGCAGTTTGCAGCAATAAAACCATTAACACCTTGCAATAAGAGGTTTAAAACAGACGCCAATTAACCACTGCTGAAGGATGTCTTCTTAATTGCCCACCTCGGCCTGGCAGTTAAGTTTGGGGCAGGGGTTTAAATGCTGCAACAGAATCTCTAGCAGCGTTAAAGGTCATTGTTGTCAATCAAGCCTCACCAACTTGTGGGATGACCAATGATGCTCAGAGGCCAAAGAACAGGTGACACTTCCAGAAAGGATAGGGAAGGCCCAGTACAGGACCACAACACTCCAGGTAGGGTTTCGACAGAGAGATCAAGGCCATCAGATAACTGGTGATCATCACCTCTGCAAACTGACAACTCCCTGCTCATTTCAGCCAAGGGCAGAGTCCTGGAGCTTATCACCCAGGTTGTAAAGAGGTTTGCCACCAACGCCTTCTCCCAGCTGTCAGGTTTCCAAGGCTGGAAGGCAACTCCCTAGGCATAGGGTATCACCCTGGCATTCCCAGCCAATCTGGGTAGAATCCTAGAGCTGTAGAGTCAAAGGGACCCAAAGGGACATCTAGCCCAACCCCCTGCGATGACGGGGTCTAGGACTATGGCAGCAGTTCAAGGCAGCCTCTCCCAACTTGGTGCCCCCTCATAAGAACAGCTTTCTGGATCTGGTCAACGGCTCATCCATTCCAGTGCCCGGTTCTCACAGTCGACGACCAGATAGCCATTATGGGAAACCTGCAAGCAGGATTTGAGCACAAGAGCAGTAGCCGTTCCTAAGGTACCCAGCAGTGTTGGCCGCCTTTAAAGGTAAAGGGACCCCTGACCGTTAGGTCCAGTCCTGGCCGACTCTGGGGTTGCGCACTCATCTCTCTTTACTGGCCGAGGGAGCCGGCGTACAGCTTCCAGGTCATGTGACCAGCAGGACTAAGCCGCTTCTGGCGAACCAGAGCAGCGCACGGAAACGCCGTTTACCTTCCCGCCGGAGTGGTACCTATTTATCTACTTGCACTTTGACGTGCTTTCGAACTGCTAGGTTGGCAGGAGCAGGGACCGAGCAACAGGAGCTCACCCCATCATGGGGATTTGAACCGCCGACCTTCTGATTGGCAACTCCTAGGCTCTGTGGTTTAACCCACAGTGCCACCCGCGTCCCTTGGCCGCCTTTAGGCACACACAATTCTCTGCTCCCCTTTAGATGTGTGGGGTGACGAGACAGTCGTGGGCCATCCCCCCCCCTGCAGTCCAGAACTGACGTTTGAGTGTGTCACCGTAGACACAAGGAAGTCAAGATGCCATCAATGCGCAGAGACAGAGTGAAGAACACGCACCATCTCTGCTCATATCACTTTCATTCTTGTAAATATGTATACAGCTTTTGCTGTTCCTGTTTAAAGAAAAACTGTCTTACCAGATGCATAAAAGTCAGGGTCACAGTATGCCATGAGGAAGAAGTTGAAGACAAGGAGCAGGAAGCCACTAAACGTTATCAAGTTTGGGGCCAGCCACATGGGGAAAATCTGTGAGGAAGCAGCAAAAACACATGCAGAAAACCCACATTAATTGATCAGCCATGTACAGTCGAGCCCCCTCTGTGACGCTTAGGCAGGAGGAGAAAGAGACTCTCCTTGAGAGTTAGGGTGACGTTCGTCTGTCTTGCTTATCCTTCGTGCGGCAACACAAAAAGGAGCCCAGGCCATGAGTGTAGCTTGTGCATCTCCGGACAATTAAGCCCCCTCAAAGAGGAGGAGAAGCCACTCCTGAATGAGTCACAGACCAGAAAGGGGACTGGCAACTTCTCCACTGACAGGGATGCCAACAGGTCCACTTCAAGCACAGAAAGCGCACTTGACAGGGCACGGAGGGAGGCAAGAGGGCCAACTCACCTTGACCACCGTGTTCCAGAAGGGATGCATGACGTACAGGGAGAGGGGGTTGCTGTCCACAGCACTGTACTGTGAAGGAAACAGAGAGGAGAGAGAGGTTAGGCTGGAGGTTTTCTAACCCAGCAAGATTCTCTAGAAAGTCCACCAGCAAGAGCCACAGAGAAATACCTAAATGCATATTTATCAGGCCAACCAACATGGCGCAAAGGTCGCTGGCAAGCTTTTGAGTTCTCCAAAACAATCACATCAGGCTGGAGCAGCAGTTTCCGAACTTTTTCGAGCGACCCAGCTCATCCCCAGTGCACCTTAACCTATAGGAGGTCTTATTCAGGGTAGGGGTTTGCACAACCCCCCGAGGAAGGCAATAACCCGGTGAAAACCCATCCAGGAACAATTAGCTGCACACTTATTCAAAATCCAATTGAAACTATTTAATTAATTCAACAAATTGGATGAAATCTAATAAAGAACAAAGACTGTGAGAGCGAGGGTTATTGTTTTTTGCTTCCTTATTTGTATCGTAAAATGCCCTGTGGTCCTCGGGCGAAGGGTGGAATAGGAATTACAGTGGTGCCTCGCAAGACGAAATTAATTCGTTCCGCGAGTTTTGTCGCCTTGCGATTTTTTTCGTCTTGCGAAGCACGGTGTCGGGAAAGTTTTGGAAAAGCTTCAAAAATCACCAAAGTCTTCAAAAACCTCAAAAAAGGCTACCACACCGCGTTCTATGAGTTGCTCCTCGAAGTCAAGTCGCAACTGTATTAACGGTGTTAAGAAAAAGGAAACAAACTTGCAAGACGTTTCCGTCTTGCGAAGCAAGCCCATAGGGAAAATCGTCTTGCAAAGCAGCTCAAAAAACAAAAAACCCTTTCGTCTTGTGAGTTTTTCGTCTTGCGAGGCATTCGTCTTGCGAGGTACCACTGTATATAAATAATAAAAATAACTTGATGTAGTGACACCAGGTTTTACAAGTCTGATAAGTCTTTTACACCTCCAGTCCCCCCTCCCTGCATCTTAGCAACCCCCCAGGTAATCCCACTGTCCCGTCCCCCCCAAAGGGATGGGTGGGTGATATGGCCCATTTTGGGAACCACTGGGCTAAATGGTAAGCAAAGCAAGGGGTGAGGCAGAGGGAAAACACGGTAGGTGGCAATGCCACGTCTGCTTCCGATCCGAGTTTCAAGGCAGGATGCAGCTGGAGGGAACAGGCTGTCAAACGCGGCACTCTTGGATCTATGCAGGGATCAGGCTGTCCCCAAAACGTACTGGGGAAAGCAAGCATTACGATGGCAGACTCCCCACTCCTAGGGAACTGGCCTGATCCAGCAGGCTCTTATGATCTTATAGTGAGAAATGCACACCAAACACCAGCTTTCCCAACCTGGTGCTCTCAAACGACAACTCCCAAGAGCCCAGGCCAACACAGCCACACTGGCTGGCGCTGATGGGAGCCGTATTCCAAAAGAACAGGAGGGCACCAGGTTAGAGAAAGCTGGGATAAAGCATGGGAGGAGAGGGCAATCCTTCCATTGCGGTGGTTCAGGGTGCCAAGGGCATGCGGCCAACAGCTTGGCAGAGGTTGCTTTCAGGAGAGAGTTCTGGCTCAACCTGCTTCCAAAGGCCAGAAGCTCAGCCACATACAACTGCACGCTTGTTGTTGTTGTTTAGTCGTTTAGTCGTGTCCGACTCTTCGTGACCCCATGGACCAACCGCACGTTAGAAGTCTCCTAAACACACCAAGTGAGAGCTGGACCATCAAGAAGGCTGATCGCCGAAGAATGGATGCTTCTGAATTCTGGTGCTGGAGGAGACTCTTGAGAGTCCCATGGACTGCAAGAAGATCCAACCTCTCCATTCTGAAGGAAATCAGCCCTGAGTGCTCACTGGAAGGACAGATCCTGAAGCTGAGGCTCCAAGTACTTTGGCCACCTCCTGAGAAGAGAAGACTCCCTGGAAAAGACCCTGATGTTGGGAAAGATGGAGGGCACAAGGAGAAGGGGACGACAGAGGACGAGATGGTGGGACAGTGTTCTCGAAGCTACCAGCATGAGGGAAGCAGTGGAAGACAGGAGTGCCTGGCGTGCTCTGGTCCAGGGGGTCACGAAGAGGAGGACACGACTAAACGACTAAACAATAACAACAAACACACCAAGGTGCTGCAATAATCCCACCCGAGTTATTATTCCAGATGATGGAGCTTCCCTCCATATATGCTTCCAACTGCCCTCCCTCTCAAACGTCATGTCCTGCCCCAGAAGCGCTTGAGAAATGGGCAACGTCAGTCAGAAGGTCAGTTTTGCTGTGCAACAGCCGCCTGCTTCAGGCCAGCAGGGCGAGTGACGCCTTGCTACACCGCTGGGTCTCCTGAGTGGCGTCCGGCCAGCCTCCCTGGCACCTGATTCACCAGCTCCGTTCCGTCTCCAAGGACGGAACTACCAAGCGATTTAGGAGGTAATGAGATTTCAGTTAATGGCAGGGGGGTACTTGGCAGATTTGTTCAAATCCCATTATCTCTATCCTTCTTGCGGAAGTCGGGAAAGGCTCCTTCTGAGCATTTGGAGTAAGTGGAAGAGATCCCTCAAGCCGAGTGCTTTGCTTTGCCTGCACTGTAGCAAACCCAGTATTTTGGCCCTGCAGGAAGGGCTGCAAACATTGTGCCTTGAGCTATGGCAGACAAGCAGCAGCAGCACCAGAAGGCAACCTGTCAAACATTTAGCATCCCGCCTGCAAAGCCAAAAGGTTTTGCTCTCGTTGGCTTCATACTTCCTGATAAGCAAAGCTCTCTTCCCAAATCTATTCTTTTCTGCAGGTAAAGGAAGGAGGGATGAGGACCTCCTTTGCCAACTGACTGCTTTTGCCTACAACTCCCATAGCAAGAAAGTTGCCGTCAAAAGCAGGTTGGCAAAGGCTGGGTTAGGGTCTTAAAGCTGTTTGTATACCCAGGTATTCAGCACCGCCAGCAAACACGGTGCTTGGGAGTTTCTTTTGTTGGTTATTACTTACTAACTTTATTTATTTATAGTCCACCTTTTTCTCCACGGAGCTAAAAGTGGATTACATGGTTCTCTCTTCATTTAACCCATACGACAACCCTGTGAGGCAGTTTGGGCTGGGTGACCAGCCCAAGATGCTGTTACTGGTCTTTTGGTGAATAGGAGACCAGCAGCTTCTCCTATCTGCTGAAAGGCCGCTGTAGAGTGGCTTTGGAGGCCCGGCCAGATGGGTGGGGTATAAATTAATTATTATTATTATTGGGGCTGGTGAGAACCGGCTGATCTGGCCTGCAAGGAGCATGCTGCAGCCGCTGTTTTGACAGTGAGCGATGCATTCCTTGGTTGCTGGATCTGCCGTCCCTGTGTATCCTGCTGCCTGAGGCGATTGCCTCACCTTGCCTCATGGGTGGGCTGGTCCTGTTACTTTTCATGGTTTCTTTGGAGAGAAGCAGACTATGAGGCCGCCTTGAGACGTAATGCTGAGCCATACCACGGTTTCTATCCAGGCAGCATCACGAGCAAGCGAGGAGGGGAAACCCAACCAGGACATCCAAATCTACAGTACTCAGCAATTTGCTTCATACGTGTAATTTAAAGAGGTCACAGAATTCTGCTTGCTTTAGAGAAGAACGTGGGTTATAGTGGTGTTGGGTTTGAGTTTTGAGTACCACTGCTGCCAGTGCTTACACACAAACAAGCCCTGCCACAGATCAGTCAACCTTAATATTTGTAATTTTGGACAGCACCAAGGACTAGATGAAGATAATAATCCCATTCATTCTTCCCTTGACAGCTCCTGCTGAGATGCAGCCCCAGACCATTCATTTCTCAATTGTTTGGCTTTTAAGCACCAGAGAGTCAGATTACTATTATGGGAAGTGCTGAATAGGAGGCGGAGGAAGAAAAGAAGGCTGGGTGATCTGGGACAGAGCAATACTAGAGGGAAGGCTGGCTTGATGGCACAATCTTCACAGCAGAAGATAATCAAGATCAATCTTCAAACCTGAAGGCAATCAAGATCAAGTTTCAATTTAATCACCTAGGAGGACTCCTTGCTAGAATAACCCTAAACTCATCTTACAAAGCCAAACAACCAGGTCACTTATTACTTTGCAAGTGGTTGGTGCAAAGAGTTAGTTAGTGCATGACTATGACTCCTAACCTGAGCCATCAGCCCAGGCCTCAGTGAAGGAACCTCCTTGTCTTTCCTCCTGAAGATACGCAAGGCTGACACCTGAACGCACTTTGCAGCTTGAGGCTGCCTTTGGCATGGGTCATTTGAAGCGGTGGCCACTCTCCCCAATGACAGCCCCAAAGATATACAGTGGTGCCTCGCAAGACGAAAATAATCCATTCCGCGAGTCTCTTCGTCTAGCGGTTTTTTTCGTCTTGCAAAGCAATCCTATTAGCGGCTTAGCGGATTAGCGCTATTAGCAGTTTAGCGGCTATTAAAGGCTTAGCGGCTAAAAGGCTATTAGCGGCTTAGCGGCTTAGAAAAAGGGGGGGGGAGCGAAAAAAATCGCAAGACTCGCAAGACGTTTTCGTCTTGCAAAGCAAGCCCATAGAGAAAATCGTCTTGCGAAGCGCATCGAAAAACGGAAAACCCTTTCGTCTAGCGGGTTTTTCGTCTTGCGAGGCATTTGTCTTGCGGGGCACCACTGTACAAGGTAAACTTTGAGACTGAGAGGTGGTGGTTGGCCCAAGGTAAGCTTCATGGCTGAGAGGTGTCATAATTTTTTTAGGGTGCAGACACATAGCAGAAACACACTCTACAGAAAACCAATCCTTTGCCCTTCAAAATTTAGGAAAGATTCTCTGTGAAAATTACACTTCATTTGATTATTTGGGATGAGCAATCCCAAAACTATCTCTGTTCATCTTGGAAAACTTTCCCCAATGGCTCTTTCACTTGCAAATCCTTCCTTTTTGGTCTGGCAAATTTCTGTTAACAGCAAAGCAGACCTGCCAAATGAGCATCTTTTGTGTATCAATAGGTATTTACCACTTCAAAGGAATGGCCCAGACTAGCCAGGAAACCAGGCCAGAAAACTCATATCCATGCCAAATCACACAGCATTC